ACCACCACTACAATATAATTAATACCATTTGCTCAGGGGCAAATAGTCTCACCGTGCTCCTAGACTTAAATCTTTCACACTGCATGACACACTGCTTCTGTTTCAGCAAAACGTCTACTTAGCATTATCCAGTCTCCTTTTAATTTCAAATCCATCACAATTTGCCGTTTGGTTTTACTTCTTTCAAACTAACATGTAACAAAGTTAAATGTGTAGTATTTGCAGTGAGAAAACATTTGCAAATATCCACAATAAAGCCAGGACAAGATAATATAAATATCAGATTAATAAACACATGAAATATTCTAAATGTAAAAGCTAAAGTGTCCTTCTGACATTATTATTATTTATGTATATTAGTTGTTGTTGTTGTTCAGGGTGGATAAAGTACTTTAGAACCTTCAGGTATTAAACTGAGTTTTGTTTCAAGTGCGTGACCTAGGATTCTATCAATGATCAATTCTGACCCTGCACCTCCCTATAGACTCCTAGAGCTAATGAGAAGAGCAGTAAATTATTGATTGAAACTAATGTTTCTTCCTTGTGGACCTAGAGTTCTGTGTAAAACAACATCAATCAATGCCATCTGGAAAGCACTTTAATCATAATGTATAAACAAATTATATCAAATAAGAATATATGTTAAAAGAATGCTGTTACAATGTTTGCAAATAAATTAAAAACAAACAAAAAATTTTGATTCAGAGATAAATTGTCTGAAATTTTGAACTCAGTTACCTGAGCTCCTGCTATTCCAAATTCAAGAATTTCAGGAATTTTGGAACTTGGGATAATATAGGTTTTCTCTTTCATAGATTTTTTTATTTTTTTTTAATTAGGTTTTGGGAAAACACAGGTTTTCTCATCTCTCTTTGTATATGTAAAAGTACCCAGAACTCAAACCCAAAACATGAGAATCTTCTAATCACAGAATGCAGGTAAGCAAATTAGATATTGCATCCTAATTTTCTCAAGCAATTAATTCTCTCATATCCATTGCTCCTCTCATTAACTGTTTCTATTTTCTGGAGAAAATTGCTATTTGTTTTCAGCTATAAATCGGACAGAATTATTGGAACCTATTGAACATTTAGATGTTCGACACATGCTTCTCAGGTACTTCTATTCTATGAAACACTTCAGCATAATGAATTTTATTTTCAGACAGATACAATTCTTGTGAAAGAACACAAACCATGAGTGCATGTGTACACATACTGTTATCAAAGACTTTTTGTCACCTGCTTTAAAACAAGTCCAAATTACTGAGGGTTTCAGTCTCTCACAAGCTCCAAATTAAAAAACGGATGAAGCTTGACAGACACACAGGCAAATTACTCTGGTGATAAACAGATTCTATGCTGAAATATTATATCTTATCAAAGTAATGCACCTGAGGTCATTGCCATGGAATTTGATCTCAAGAAAAGGACTAGGAAATGCTAATTGTAAATAATAATAAAACTAAGAGTGCAGGGAAACTACTACCAAAATATCACAAAACCTACACTCACAAATAAAAAAATATATCAGAACCAACCACACCAAATAAACATTATGACTTTGTGAATATAAGAGTGAAACAATCAACACTAAGTCAAGTCTTAAATCAGGGTGAATATTGATGCCATATTTTTATGATTGCATTAGCAGTCTGCCATACATAAAGACCACTAGAGAAAAAAAGAAAAAAAAAAAGCGTAAATCTATGAGAGGAAAACATTTGAAGAAATGTTACGTTCTTCATGCTCTGCTCAGACCAAGCTCTGAACACTGCATTTTTATTTTTAAGAATTCGAGTTTTCTACATCTGACAGATACTGTCTTTCATTCTTTAGGAAAAAGACCTTAGCTGTGTAGCAGTGGAAATTGGAGTGGATTTTGGTAATCAACTCAGGACTTATTCTAAGAGCTACATTGACAAGTGCAATCTCAGACAATGCTTCTGAGGTTTAAGAGCCCTTAAATTACTTACTCTTTTTGCTGCAATAATTGACACTCACATTTCAGAGCTTGAGGAAACATACAGCATAACCGAATGTATTCTAAGGTACTTCTCTCCATTAAACAACGAACCAGGTGCAACATGATGCACTTAAAAGTTGTTATTATTTATTTATTTATTTATTTATTTTTAACAACTTCAGTACCAGCTTCAGTAGTGCAGCTTCAAAATACAGTTTGACAGAAATTGTAACGCAATTGTTCTCTAATGTTTTACTTGTTAGTAGGTTAGCAGGTCACGTTTACTATGTTTGCTTACTTCGCAAATGCCTTTGCATTTATTATTAAAAGTCTTAACGTCTAATTCTGCTAACTTTACTTCAAGAACAATCTAATTAAAATCAAGACCATATAAAGAATAAAACTAGAAGAATTAAATCTTTGGAAAGCAAACTGGCATTAAAAACATCTGTCTAACAGATTTACTTCTTTGTTAAAGAAGAAATGAAACCTTAAATGCAATCTTATAATCCGTATATAAATATAAATAAATATAAATAAAATAAATAAATTTTGCAAAAGCACATTCTTTATTCTATTTAAGAAAGCTCAGAGGAGGATTTATTTGTTTGGACAATGGGGTAAAAGTGAATGAAATCTCTGCTAGATGGAAGATTTCAACAGATGAAAACGCCCTTCTTTACTGAAAACAAAACAAAACAAAACAAACATGTGTTTTATTGTTGCGTTCCTAAAATACCAGTATTTGACTTTACATCAGAAACAGAAGTATCTTTTCTCAGATAAGGTTTTATGTAGATTTCATGTTCTGGCCAGAATAAAGCATTTAGTAGCTGTGTTTGAAACACTTCGTTCTAGAAATTAATATAAACACTATGGAAGAGTTCAGTGCATATTCTTTAAACTATGAACCTGGTAAATCCACAGATGGATATTTGCTTGTTAATGAGCAACTCATCTGCCAGCTTTATTTGTCAGCAGATTACAGACAAGATAAAGCATTTGTTTATTCTCTTGTATAAATTTGTGTTTATGGTATATAAAACTTCACTATTTTTTTAAGAGTGTTCCTGAATAAAAATTGCACACTAGAGATTTGTCCTATGCTTTCTTAATTTGGTAACCCATTAGTCACTTTTAAGTATTATTAAGGCTTTTGAGCCTTTTTTCCTAACAGCATCCAGAAAAGCAAAGTACTCTGTTGTATACATCTTTCAGTTATCATTCTTAGCAAAGGGCCCAACAATAACAAAATAATAAAGAAATGTATTATTAGGTCTTATTAGAACTACCTGGAAGGAAAGTACTTGGACATATAATTTAATTAGAAACTCTATTTTTCAAATGAATTTCCCATGAAAGTTTTATTTTTCAAATGGGAAGTATTACCTAAAAAACCCTATCTCATTAAACAATATCTAACCATAGTTCTATCTAGTTCTCTGATTTCATAAAATGATGACCAAGCACATTGAAAGCAAAGGCAGAATTTGAAGTGGACCTTTTTTATTAGTTCCTGACAAAATGAAAAACAAAACAAAACAACAACAACAAAACTATATTTTCAAATATTAAATGACCTCAAACCTTCTACACTTGGAAACTAAGCTAGTATCACAACTAGAGGACCAGATGTAGTAAGCTCTTACTGACGCATAGATTTTCTATCTGAAGTTTAATTTCTTCACCAGAGGTATCTCAAAGCAAGACAAACAGTGAGTAGCAGAGTGACTAACTTTGGACACCCAAGTCACAGTCAAGGAATCTCACTATATACCATATCTGGATGAGGAAAAAATGTGCGTCTAATTCCCATCAGATGATGCAAAACTCGTATTTTCCCATATAACATAATCTTAAAACAGGAAATGTTGATTTTTTAAAAATTACAAGTAGTTTTGCTAAAGTTGCAATTATAAATGACACAAGAAAATAATTAATTTCTTAAGCAATTAGATCTTATGATCTTACAATAAAGCAGGAAAGAAGAGAATTACTGTGTATAGCATCACATTGTGAGATTACAGCTAAGAAACTATATTACAGAGTACCAAAAACACTGAAAGAAAAATACAAAAATAGAATGTTCGTGATGTTCTATATTTATCTTTGTGGGTAGGCTCTGAAATATCTTTTGAGCTGTCTTCTATATTTGATAATCACTGGTAAGACCAAATTTTGGACTGGTATTCTCAGCAATGTTTATATCTGAGGACTCAAACCAGTCAGCGTTCAAAGGCACTCTGTGAATTTATTATACTACTATTCATATTTTTTTTAATTTTTTTAACAAAGCCTAGGTCAAAACAAACTATTTCACACAAACTATTTCAATATATTTCCTATTTTATTTTTAATATTAATACTTGCTAACAAACGTGCAGAAGGGCAGAACTGTCTAGGGGACTGCCCAATTGTTAACATCTTATTTATTTGTAGTACAGAAATTTTTCTCACAAAATTATTTTAAAGTTAAATATTTTCATACTTCATTCTATGCCAGCCGTTTTCCAGGCTGCATGTTATCACTGCTTCTGCAGTGAATCATATAAAAATCATAATTTTAAGGAAAGAAGGAATGCTGGACATGTAAGGTGTTTTCAATATCAGTGTTTTCTTCAGCAACATTCACTTTCACACAGGAGCAGTGACATAAGCTTCTCATTAGCATAAAACCATTGAAGCTCTTTTGCAGTGTGGTTTGCTTGTTTGTTTAACAATATAAGGAATAAAATATTGCAGAGGGGAAAAATGCCTTTTCAATGTTGATGCTGTCATCACATGCAAAATAAAATACCATGCCTTTAAAATTCAACTGCATATCAAGCTAAAACAAAAGTGAAAATTGAAATTAAAAACTATAGTTGAAATATCTACAGAATTAGTGCCCTTTGGGGCATTTTGACCATATAACTATTAGTAGTTGGGACACATGAAAATTTCTGCTGCAGAGTCTTTATGTTTTGATGATGCACTACCAGTTGACATCACTCTTGTATTGGCAGAAACTAATGGAATAGATCTGTACTTCTTACCATCAACACAGGCTGGCCTTGCTCTTGTTGTACCGGCAATCTGTCCTTTTTTACATGCACAGCGAGCTGTTTGTCGGGCTATAGTCCTTCGGGGCTGACTGCTATCTCTGTCCAAAGTAACAATCTCACATGTACCTGCAGCCAGTTGACCTGGAAAAAGAACCAGCAACAGGTACCAGAGTCACTGAATGCACTACAGGCAATCTATTACAGCCGAATAGAGTCATGGCCCTATGTCACCACAGACACTCCACAACAAATGGGCAGCCAGCTGACGGATATAATAAAACTGAGATGACATACAATTTTTCTTTGTGGTGGACATATGAAAACCCTGCAAACTGGTTCTGTCAGAAAATGATTATTGTTCCATAAAAGCCAGAGAGCTGAGGTCACACAGGTTACTTTTACTTATGTTGGCTAAGTAAAGGAACAACCTGCTTTTACAGCAATGAAATTTAAATGGTGTGCTCTTTACGATCTTTCAGAAGAGCAATGATTAAGTATATGGAAAACAAAAATAGACAATATTTAAAGGCCTTCCCCATGATCATGAATATAATTAAGTCTTAACTGCTTTGTGTGTTGCTTCTGAAAGATAAAGTATGCCCGAGTTTGTCAGTTCTTTGGCTCCTGCTTCATCTCAACTGAATAGCAACTCATTCCCTACCTGATTCATTTTTGAAGTAGCTGGTGTTTTGTCTTTTGCTAAATCTACAATGTGACCATTCTGCAAATGACAATAAAATCACACTGCCTGGTTCACTCAGTTCTCTGCATGTTATTGACTTTTCCAATATATGTAGCTTTTATCGAAAATCCACCCCACCTGATTCTGAGTTTGGATCACACTGTGAGAGACAAGACAAAGTTACAAAAAAATGTTTCCATGGCGTTTTAGTCTGAAGTGAAAATTCTACAATTAAAATTCCTCTGATGCTCACAGTAGCATGCTAATAGTATAGCAAAATATTATGTTTTTATAAGCAAGAATATACATCATTGAATTTCAGTGCTTAGTAAGACTGAAAAAAAAATCCCAGCTATCACTTTGTATTACATATAATCTCTGGATTTTGTGGTAGAGTACTAAATAGCATTTATTTTGGATTTTGTCTTTGTAGTCAATCGATTATAAACCTTCAAAGAAACATATACCAAAATAGGTTTGCAAATCACAAGCCAATTAGATTTTCTCTTCACAAAAAATTGAGAATGAACTAAATATATTGTACTTTTTTTACATATGGAGTTTACATAATATTCACAGTTTATTTTCATTTTTGTTGACTTTTGAAAAATGAGACAAAACCAGCAATTTTAAATCTGTATTAATATTTTTTTTAATGAAACATTTATAAATGGTGATTAATTAAATTCTACAAGTATAATCAATATGTCTGTATACTGCATTTTTTCAGAAAACAATTTTATCCAGTATATTCTTCTAAATATCAGCTGATGGTACTTCCTATTGTGTGGATACTGTTTTGAAACTGTCAGAATAGTAAAATATTGTAGGCTGTCAACAGCATTGTGACTGGTTCACTGCTAAGCCACCTAAATTTTATATTGCTGTAACTCCTACACTGCAGTGAATTACAACATGGTAAAAGCAAGTATCACAAAGATGAATATGGAACAAGGTACTCTACAAATTCATGCAAATATATATGTACATATATTTGTAATATATATATATTACAATATGTAATATATATTACATATATATATTTTTTACCTCTACATGGCTTCATTTTGAGACTTTTTTTTTTCAATAATGATTATTTTCAGCTGTTTCATTTGTTCATTTTTAAAGATGATGATTTCTTCCAGTCATAGTGACCTCATGTAATATATATGTATTACAATATGTAATATATATTACATATTACATATATATATATATGCATATATATGTAATATATACATATATACACATATATGTGTGTGTGTGTATATATATATATGTAATAGACATTAGGCCTTCATAATTAAATAAGATATTCGACAGCCAAAAACACTGTAGTATTCAATGGCTGCTGGCAATCAGGCTTATGAGCTAAGGTCAATCTTGGATTTCATGAGCTTTCTATTCTTTTCCACCCACCATGTTAACAAAAAAACATCTTGGGATAAACATACTGATGAGGGTATTTTTACTCTATTATAGGCTGATTTTTTCTTTGTATCCTCAGGAATTGTAGGTTAGAAAGCAAACGTTTAGAAAGAAAAGAAGTGGCACTTGGTTATCCAAATGCAGACAAGGGAAATCCGGGTACACTGAGACATCTTGAGCTGACAGCATTCATTTTTCCTCCATTGCAAGTACATTTCATTTTGGGCTGCAGATGTATTGCTACTAAGGAATGTAGCTGTCTTAGCAGATCAAGTAAAAAAGACACAATCAGAGTTGTATTTAGATCTCGACCCCTCAAGCACATCATGATTAGGGTTCTGCATTGAGAACAGAAATTGAATGGAAACCAAAGAAATAAAATATGAAATGTGTAAGTATTCTTGAGAGTATACTCTTGCTGTTTTCATTAAAAGATATTGTAAATCATATAATCTAGGTGGATCATTCTATAAAACCCCATTTCAGAGGAAAGGAACTAGTGTTACAGCACAGTCAAGGTGAACAAGGACTACAGTGTTCTTTTTACTTGGAACACTGAAGATAAATGTCAAGATAAATTCCAGGGAATGCAAGCAGGGACTGTTGATAATATTTTCTGCTTTTTATCTTATAAATAATGTTTTCTACTTTTGAACCTGTCCAGTTTTACCTGTACATAGGTTGATTTTGAGACATTTTTGTTTTGTTTTGTTTGTTTTTTAAATAATGATTATTTTCATCTGTTTCGTTTGTTCATTTTTAAAGATGATGATTTCTTCCAGTCATAGTGACCTCATTTTTTGAGGAACTTGGAAAACTAGGATACCTAAATGAATGTAATAGCTATACAAAGATAAAAGATTCAAGGAACTTCTTGCAGCTATTTAAAGAAAAAAAAGAAAAAAGATGGAAAACTAGGAAAAAAAAAATTTGTTTCAGTTGCCATTCATATTCCTACTGCAGAAGACAACTAAAAGTTATTGTAGAGTTACAGCAGCTGTTCCCACTTATATGACATAAATATTTCCTCGTCATTGTGTCACAGGTTGCAAAGATTGCACTGCAACATATTGTACATCCACTGTTACTTGGCTTTAGATGGCTGTAAAGGATGAAAAGTACCAGCCAAGGTTATGGAGAGCCACTTCCAGAGCGAGAATCATCTGGAGGTCTTCTCTGTCTCATTAAGTGAGTCTGTACCACTTACATGATATAAATGCTACTTTTGCTTTTTAAGAATTTTCTCTAGAAATGTAAGGTTCACAATGATGGAACAGAAGGAATATACTTTTTATAAAGTATAGTTTCAAGAATAAGGTTACCCTTCATTTTCAGGGATGTTGGCACAATCTTCTTTCAAGGCTATTAATTAATATCTTTTTTTTAGCCTTGGAATACTCACCACAACTCCTAAGTGCAGAGAAGAAATTAAAAGAAGGAGGAGTTTCACTGAAGCTTTTCCCATTGAGAGATTAAGAGCCACTGCCTGTGGAACAGTGGTAATGACTGGATATTTTTAATAATCCCATTTATGTACTTACAGTACACAAAGCAATTCACGGCTATCCAACCTGAATGAACTCATTTTGAGACAAAAAAGACAAGCATCACCAGAGAACTCTGATTCATCACAGACTTGTATGAAAGGCTTATTTTTTTTTCCCCCTAAGGAAAGGTCATTTTTTATTATTTTATGTATTAAGCATAAAATAATAAATTTTCATAATAACTTTCAGAGTTAAAATAAACTTTTTTATTTTATTATTATTTTTTTCCCAAGTAAATGAATGAGTATTGGTTTGCTGTTGTTTTTATATTTATTTTGTATATGTATGGTTCAGCAATGAAGACCTCACTGGAAGTTATCTGATTTTGCGTTGCCACCGTCTGGTTATTAAAGAGAGAAAAAGTTCAGGTTCCTTGCTCTTCTATATGTTGTACTGCATTCTTAAAATGCCAGTTGACATCCCATCTCTCAGATATCAGTGTAGATGCTTCTCTATGAAATTATTTCAGGAAAATGGAGAACTACAGGGTTCTGATTTAAAAATTTAAGTCAAACTGAATTAAAAAAAAAAAAGCAACAAAAACAATCAAGTAAATAAAAAACAAATAGGATTAGGTTTTTGGCTTCTAGCTAGTACAACTCATACTGCTTACAGTGAAAGGAAATTACGATATTCAACACAACATACTCAACACACCTATTTTGCTTTTTTTTTTTTTAACTCAGTGAGAGTTTTTTCATGAAAATCTGTAGAAATCATTAAGAATATATCTCAAAATAAAATGATGTATGATTATTTAATACTTTCTCTCTTGAAAAAAAAATGTTATTAAGTAGTTTAAATGTAAATAAGCTTTTTTTTTTTCATTTTTATTTTTATTTTTTAAGAGCCCTGTTATCAACTATATGCCATTACTGAAAGAATAAAGCCTTTCAAAATCGTGTATGTCATAGGTAAAACCTTCAATTAGTAAATACTTTCATATTACATGCAGAGTACCACAGGATAAAATGATAATTTTCTGTGGAAGAAAATATTTCTGTTCTCTAATAGAAAATAAAATCTGTCTAATTCATATTGATTATAGCAAGCAAGTTATAGATATTATGATTTTTTAATTTATGCATGCTGAAAAGCTGAAAACATTCCCTTCAATTCATTTAAAGAAATAAAATCAGATGATGAAGTCATAATATCTGTGGGTCCAATAGCAATAAAACTTGATCTAAATCTATGGGTCTTTCTAGGGTTTTAGATTCCATGTTCACCCAGAAATCTCCTGATTTGCACATGCAGGCTTATATTACAGTTTCAGAGAATAATTTTTCCATGCATCACCAATTTGATGCCTAGCAACACAAGCTCTTTTAGTTCAAAATGCATAAAGTTAGATGTTATTAAAAATCTTGGCTAGATTCAGATACTCTTTTGTCAGTGAACACAATGCAGGAGTTGTTTCAAAATCAGATCATAGGAACATATTCAGCAGTTTTCTATTACAATATTGAAGTCTTTCTGACAAC